TGCTTTAAGACCAACTTGAGAACTTTTGAACCTACCCTTTAATATAACCCTAACATTACCCTAACCTTAAACCAAGTTGTCACCCTAAAATTCAACATTTTAAATGGTGAGAACAAGCATCTCAATGAACAGGTCACACACACATGCAGAGACATCTCCTTTGGCAGTTTGCTGTCTAACCCTTGTCAGGTGAAGAGGCTTTTCTGATTGGGTCAAGATAAGCCTGTCACCCATCTACAATAATTCTCCACAGAATTTCAATGCCCTATCACCCCCAGTGTGCTAGCTTCTGGTTTCACAATATCAACCCCGGGCTTTTACTTGGCTCACAAGTGCCAGGTGGAGGATGGGTCCTTCTTCAGCTTATCCTCATCCTTTCTCCCACTGTCCTGCCCTAGGCCCAGGAGCTTTTGTCTTAGCTAAAGTATTGTGTGTTCATCTGCCACCATCGTCTCCCTCCTTCTCCACAAGCTACCTCAAAGGGCAAACAACAGATGGGGTGCTACGCAGTCACACAAGCACCAGTAGAGATTCGATGGGGGTGCGTTCTCATGCGCATATACAACTGCACGTGTAAAAATAATGTGTGCAATCTTTTTGGTGTCAAGTCAGCTATATTTATATGTACATAAGGGGGTTTTGCTTGGCAATGGTTAAGGCAAGTACCGGTTACATTGCTAATTAGGTTCCTATAGCAGAAACGCAGAAAAACTTAGTTCCTCTGACAGCTGCAGGCCAAAAGTTTCTGTCTGCGCACAGTCCACACTGCAAAAGCCCCAACTGTGCATGTACCACAGTGCTTGGAAATCGTCAGTGTATGCAGACACAAGGCAGACACTAGATTTGAAGTATCAATAGGAAAGCGTGAACATCCCTTCTCCATGTCTGTATATGCACATTGATTTGCACAAAATATGTCTAGCCCTTTACATTAACAAGGGTACCAATTTCTTTTTCTCTACATTGTTTATAACCCTGCTGGGAGACGCACCAACCTGCTATTTGTGTTATATGAAATAACTGGAAATTTTCAGTATTTTGTAATGCATAAAATACTCATTACACTGTTAAACTTAAGGGTTTTTTTTTGGTTATATGTTTAGTAAGTGGAAGCAGATGTGTGTAATAAAAGTAACCACATTTATAGTAAGAGACTGTGTACCTTTCCTCTTTTAAACAGCATTTTAAATGACAAGTTACTTATTATAGTGAATACAAAGCCTCGGCTCTTAGCGGTTATGGCTAGACTTGGTGGATTTTGAAAGTGTCACAGGATTACAGTGCATCAGTTTCCAATCTGTGACCACAGTTTCATGTCCACTGGAACATTTTTCACTCTAGTGCTGTGCAGGAAGTAAAACTCTCCCTTGTTTGTTTTCTCTCCAAGGGCGATTGAATTGTGCTGTGTGTTAAGCAGTGATATAAAGCAAAGAGTAATACAGTGCTACACCATACCAGCTCTTCCTGGCAACAAAGCCAGTCACATTTTTCAGTCAATCACTCATTCCTCAGATCTTTGCTTCTCACCTGAACAGTAACATGCCTGCACATAGATTCAGTAGCCGGGTTTCAGTCTATTTCTTATCTCTTTCATGTGTTGTCTAGTTTTTCCTGTTTGTCCACCTTTCTTATCTTTCTTGGCAGCTTCATTTTTGGCAAGTTCTTATCTTAAGTTTTTTTCCTTATTGTTTACTTCACACTGGCCCAAATCAGAAGTGTAATTTTTGTGTTACATATGTTACTATGTCATGAATTCACATGCAGAAGGTGGATACATGCGCAGATTCACTTTTCAGTGTTGCCAGCAAATAGCATTTTTTTATGATAAACTATGAACCAAATTGGCAAATCAAACAAAACAAACTACTCAATCGTGGTTTTTTTTTTTCAAAAGTTTAATAATTCTGTAGCTTTTTACAGTGACCACACTACTGTTTACCAACTGTCTGTCAGGATTTGCTGTCAGATTGTATATGTAACATTTGAACGTATTCAGGTACACCATCACAAAGCTGCCTGTAGTTAACTCTTCAACACATGCTTTTCTTTTTATTTTTTTGCTTTTCTTGCCCCTCCCTTGCTGCTTCAGAAGCACTGGTTGAAACCAATAACTATTTGAAACAAATCATTTGGCTCACTAATCACACTGGTTGGACTGGATCAGCTTTTCCCACCTGTTTTTTTTTATATTCTCCTGGAATAATCAGTAAACATTCCGCATCGGAGTTTATGAACTGGCATTAACATTGTCCACTTGCTGAGCAGTACATATACATCTATTCTATATACAGTGTGCTTCCCTCAGCACCAGCTGTATTCTAACGTTAGCATAGCCAGCCTTACTAGCTTGCTAATGTCATTAGAAAAGTTGGATCTCCCCGACTGACAGTGTTAAAAACTATCATGAAGAGGAGTAGCTGTTCCATCGTGTGTGTGTTTGTGTGTGTGTGATGTGAGAGAGAGACAGAGAGAAAGGGAGCAAAGCACGGAGGGGCTGAGTCAATACATGTGATATGCACTGCACGTGATTGAAATAAGATTTTAACCTATTTTAAATTAATATTTGCTGATCAATGTTGGTCTCGTGGTGGCCTGCCACAAATAAGTCAGTGTATGGGAAACACTACTGTAAGTAAAAATGTACTGTCAACCCTGTTGGTTTTACAGACGGCAACAAGCAGGTCAGCTCAAGTGTCTGAGGACATGAATAACGGATGACAATGAGGCACGTGCAGCTGATCATATTACTTCTGATGATGTAAAATATGTGCACAGGCAAGCACATTTAATTACAGAAGAGGGTACCCTTATTGACTTGTTTAATACTGAAACAAGTGTATGAACACCCATACATGAGAACAGGGACCTCAAGGCTTTTATGACATGGTTTGACTTTCTGATTCCAGTTAAGGTGGGTTTGAGTTCATGCACTTCACAGGTTGAAGTGGGTGGAGGGATTTTAGTGGACTGAGTGAAAAGACAATCACACAAAGACTCGAGTCAGGTAGAGGTGTGAAAGCATAGTGACACAATGAAGGAAATCTTAAGTCCTGTTGCACTATTGGCCTCTTACTGCACCATTAGACCTCTGGCATCCACTGATGCGCACAAATCAGAAAGCTGATATTTTATCACTTATACAGTTACAAGTAAGTAATGCTTCCAAAGATAAGGAGATGGGGGCAATCTGATAAGTGACCTGCGGCTTTGAACGGTTTATTCCAGTGCATGTAATCACATTGTCTGACTTCCTGTGTAACCTGCTGTGTCTGAATAACCTGGTTGCTTATGTACATGTAAATACTGGCAGACCTGTGGGCCAGGCCACACAGCAGACTGTACACTCTGGCTCTCCCAGCTCTCATCGCCTGCTGGAATGCAGCCCATCATTCTGTTGCGACCGTGGGCAGGTTTGGAATGTATTACATGACGAGATGGACTGACAATGGCTCACTGTCAAAGCTTCCAGCCTGAATTCTTTCCATTGACTGATAAGGATATTCTTAGGCTTTTTCTTGTGGGATTGTATTGTATATCTGTAAATCTGTAAACAAACAAGGTTGCTTACTTAACATTAGAATGACAAAACTTCATAGTTTATACTTTGAGCAAATACATTAAAAAAAAAAAAACTAGGAAACTGTGTAGTTGTAAATAATTTTCTCAATTTTTATGGAAATTAACTTTTCTTAATTCAAATACATATTTGTTAATCTTTTTTTAAGGTATAGCTCTGTAGATAACACTTTGGACTTAAAGACGATTATCTATTTGACAGAGTAAATTTATTACTCCTGTAAGGGAGTCTGGTAAGGCTGCTTAGGCTTGTTTCCTGTTTTCTTCATGTGTTTCTGTTATTTACAACTGGAAATGTCAAACTACATGACCTTGCTTACCAAACAGAAGTACCCATTTTTAAAAAATGATTTATGACTGCATGTCCTTAGATGATCACTATTAGCTGGCTTAGTTTTATTCAGTAGAGGTTGCATAAAATTTATGGCTTGATATGTTTTTGTTTTTTGGTTGTGAAATGTTCTCACATAGTCTGAATATTTACTTTGTGTGTGAATTCTTATATTGCCATGGGTGCATCATGGCTCCTGTTAATTTTTTTTATATTTTCTTCCCATATAGCATTCAGATGAAAATAAAGGTACCTTTTTAGGTAACAAACTAAAGAATTAACATGTATGTGTATCCTAAAATCCTATTTACCAGAAACAACAAAATAAAAATGTCCTCACATGACCAAGACTTTTTATCTGCTTGCTCTCTACCATATCAATGAGCATAATAAAACTGGTTTCCAGTGGAGAAAATTGCTTGTTTAAATTCAGTATAGCCACCAGTGCAGTACTGAATTTAATTACACCTCACCATAAGGCCTGGGTCAAGCCAGACACCACAAGGCCAGGGCTCCTGAGTGTCCCTGAGCTGCATGCTGAATTTCTAAATGTTTCAGAAACATTTTTCTGCAACTGACCTTCATGTTTGACTTCCTAGTGTAGGCTTGCATAGTATGAATGGCATTTATTATCAGGAATAAATGTAGCAACAATGAATAGATCGATATGACACATAAATAAATAAATTGAAGGTTAAGTTTTTGCTGTATTGACTGTGTGTCACCATTGTGGGTGGGGAAGGGTAGGGTAAAGGCTACAGTAACAAGACTTAGTCTTTTCAGCATTTTACCAGATGGTGGCAGCACTGCACTTCTGTCTTATGCAGTATTTAGAATTGATGTGAATTATTAGTGGCATCCAGTTGTTTTGTGTTTGGCTTCTTTTAATCTAGTACAAGACATCAGTGACTTTCACACATGATTAATCCCACAGTAAGACAGATTCTTACCTGTGGTCCAGTTTTGCACTTTGCCTTTGAATTATTATGGAAAGGGAATGAATAGTATAATGCAAATGTTTCATAAGTGAACACTTGTGTTTATATTTGGTGTTAATCAGCTTCACCCTCCCTGTCTCTGTTCTTCTGTCCAGATACTGCAGGACTGTGCCAAAGCTCGTAGGGAAGTGGAGCTCCACTGGAGGGCCTCGCCCTGTACCAACATTGTGCGCATCGTTGATGTCTATGAGAACCTCTATCAGAGCAGGAAGTGTCTGCTTATTGTCATGGAACGGTGAGTGCCCAGCCTCAGTAATGCACACACTGCATACCTATCCTTTTGTAGTGATTGTTGTTTTCAGAGCACTTATTCACTGGCAGTGGAAGCAGATACAGTATGTTTGAGTTGGTCACAACTGGCCATACACCCTCCTTCTGACAGATAGATGAGATAGATACCCTTTTGGTGTTTTTCTATCAGCACACTTTAATTGTGCGGAGCTAGGTGGGCATGGTTTGGGCTCCGTTTCCATCTCTTCCTAGCAGGAGGGGGTAATCATGCTGGCTTGTGCTCAGCCGGCCCTGCTTCTGCCCAGGACTGAGCAGGACTGAGCAGGGCTGAGCACTCCCTTCAACAGAGCCAGCTCATTGAGATGTGATTAACTGCGATGTTGTGCATGCTTACATGCACAACAACATGCACAAGGAACATGCTTACATTCATCACTGACTTTTTATCAGTAATTTCATTGCAACAAAATTTGAAAATAGAGTATCTCACTTGGTCTTCTGATGAGGGGTTAAAATAATGGCAAGCACCAAGGGCTTAGAGTTAGCAAGCTAGTAACATCACACCCGCACCGTGAGTTATGCGTGGCTTCTCAGCAGCTCGTGCCACCCCCACGTGATCAAGATAGGCAAGATAAATGATGTTTCTTACAGTGCAGTGGAAACACAACTGTTCCATGAGCACGGCTGACCTGTGCTCATGGAAAATCACCATATGTCAATTGTGGAGGTTCAGTCTAAACACTAGTTAGAAATTGGTTATGACAGGCTATGAATAAAAAAAATTGTACTACTTTTTTGTGACCTCCACAGCCTTAAGTAGGTATGCTCCAGCTGGCATTACTTTCTGCTGCTGATTTAAAAATCAACAAACCTGCAATTTGGCACTTTATTGAATTGTCATCAGATGAAATAGATACTTAAAAATATTTAAGATAAAAGAACTTATAAAGATAGAGCTTGGACCAGAGAACATATACAGAGGTACACCCACACAGCTAACAAGATAACTGCAGCACACTGTAGTGGGGAATGCACTGATAATGGTATTGGGTCCAATACTGCCCTCTAGTACTCATACATGTACCCTTACAAATTAGCTGATGCAAACACAACAGTACCATTTTATGGCAACATTACATTGATCTCATGTTGGTTGATCTCAGGTAATTAGGTGAAAGAGAAGAAGGTTCAATATTTTAAGGTCACTGACTGGATCATTTTGTGCCAGAGCAACTAGCATTATTTTTTATTTAAATATTTCATTCACCACAATGTTTACTTATATTATTTTAAATATAAATAAATTAATAACACTAAAGTCTAGACCTCACTATGTAAAGTGCCCTGAGCTGATTTCTATTGTGATTTGGCACTGTACAAATAAAATAGAATTGAATTGAAATCAAGTATTTTTTACATTGGTTGAATGTTCATGTACTATTTGGTCTGCAGTTCCCAGACCTGGGAAGATAGGAATGAGAAAGCCTAGAATACCCTGAGCAAAGTTGAAGTGATGAGCATCTTGTCTTCTCTGCTGTTCTATGCACCTTGAGACAGGTTAATTATTGGAAGTCTGATGTGTATGACCTTAGTAGAAAGTGACCCATTTCTTCTAAATGTGCTTTGTATATTTTCCTCACCATTGTATTTCCACCTTTCAGCATATAAACCACCAAACCCCCATCTTGTTACACGTGCAGTCTTTAGCTTTGTGGTTGCCATTGTAGTGTGGAGGCTGTGGACCATCTGCCTACACGCTCACCACGCTCACATGCAGAAATGTATGACTAATTTCCTTTTGAACATGAGCTCAGCATTAGATGCCAATAAAGAAAAGTACTTCTGATGAAACTAAAACATTTCCTAGAAAATCACAATAGGAAACATGGCAACACTGTGAGATCTAGCTGTCTAGTATGCGTTTCTTCTAACATTGCAGAAACTGAGGCAGTCTGATGACTTTTCATTTCTCAGCTTGGGATACAGAAACATATCTGGACCACAAGTTAAAATTTTCGTAGTTGTTTACAGCCCTGGAATTAATAGGATATGGGGTAGGGATGGTTGAGGCTGTCGAACTCCATTAGCAGTATATATGTTTCTTATTGCCAACAGAGACCAAAACCAACAATGAACTGATCCTACTAACTAATATGACCTGCATAGCCAAAGCCAGATGTAATAGATTCCTCTGTACCATCAACAACATCAGACTGAGCAATACCGTTGCACTGGGTGAGATGTTATTCTATTATGATGAACATGGAAATGTAAATTTTTTTATTTTATTTATTTTTTTTACATTTTTTATTGTCAGCCTTGTCTATACCAACCTTGAAACACATGTACTTATTAGCACAACAAATGCACATCAGAAAATAATCCCCCAACCAATGCACAATTTAATACTCAAGTACCCAACTGTTTTATGAAACTTGGCACTAATCTTTTTTTCAGGTGAAGATTTATATCTTCATTAGGCCTGGGGCTGTGAAAGTCAAACTACTGAGTGATGGTCTAACACAGTTGGATTTGGTCTTTTTTGTGGGACTTATTGACCCTAACAAATGTGGAAAATTGTCAGCCCTGCTCTTTAATGGTAGTCTGTAAAATCCAGCTCACAATCCTGCAATAAGTCCTACTGGTATGAAGTTTATCATATTCAGTTTGGTCAGAGGTGTTGAGTCTGCTCTGTTATTCTGAAGGCTGTATGGTGTTGTGCCGTTAAATTCTATGATATTATATCATAATAGGTTTGGGTTGCCCAGTTCCTTATGCACTGCATATGCTTTATGCTTCTTAATGCCCTTTGAGAAGGGCCACAGACAGCTACTTCTTTTCTAACCTAATAGAAGAGGAAGCTTTATTTATTGTCATTGTAACATTGTGACACGTACAACGAAATTATGTTTGGAGCTGAGGGCCCTGGGCCGCTGCATGCATATGCGCTGCCATCACGGGCAATGGGGGTTCAGTGTCTTGCCCAAGGACACTTCAACATGTGGACTGCAGGCACCGAGATTCGAACCTTCCAGTTGGGAGACAACTGCTCTACCCACCGCACCACTGTTGCCTCCCTACTAAGTAGTTGGGCTCCATTAACAGTGGTCAAAATGCCAGTGAGGGGAGACAAACATATTTCCAGTTAATAAAGATGAGTTTGGCTATTATTACTATATTATTATTAATATATGTGTAATATATCAAAGCTTTACCAAATTGATTAAACAAATGCTTTTTGAACAGTCTGGCAAAAAAAAAAAAAATGCTGATATGTGTGTGCGTGCGTGCGTGAGTGTGTGTGTGTGTGTGTGTGTGTGTGTGCGTGTGTGTGTGTATGTATATATATATATATATATATATATATATATATATATGTAGGGGTGTATTATATATGTGTGTATTAGGGCTGCTTCTAAACAGTTTGATGTTTGCAGAGCGTACGTTATCATTCCTACAGGCGATGTGTTTTGAGGAGATGTGAAAGAAAGTGGGTTGAAAATATGTAAGGGTGTGAACAGTTTCTGCTATGATCGTGAAAGATTGTTCTCCCATTCTCATTAAAATATTAAGCATGAGTACTGCTGAGAAATCACGTCACCTCTAGACATTTTCTGCAGGATGGGGTTAAGAGACCACAAGTATACCTGTAACTTTGACCACATTAGAAGAATGGTAAGACCCAGTGTACAAGACGTTTACAGAATTAAGGGATTGCCTCACTGCTGGAGGTTTGTCACATTGCAGTTAGTTTGATATCAGAATGCAGTGGATTGAGCTACTGTCCATTTGTCAGAATGCAAAATGTGAGTGATTGGTTTTGAGAAGTTTGTAATGTGCTGCGGTTTAACAGGGCCGTCCCGTGCCTCTGTCTGCAGTTCCTGTTCTCCCGTTAACACATCTGCGCCTGAATAATCATTCTGTGCTGTCATGCACCTTTAGTCGCACACGCAAAATTGGCATTGATGATTGGACCTGAAACCGGTACAGTCATACTGAGCAAAATGATTAAATGAAACTTATCAAGTAAGTTGAGAAGGTTTTTGCATACTCATTCAAGTTCATGTTAACAATCATTATCTTTATATTTGACAGTACTTACACCAGTGACCTTTTCTGCAAGTTTTAGTCTCTGATGTTTGTGCTATGTTGTTTACAAATGCTGAGTAATAATCCTAGTGTTCTAATATTGAGCCATGCTGTTGCCAGTAGAATTCTATGAAGTTGAGCTATTATATGAATGTGTAACTTTTTTTAAATCCACCAATACAGTCTTAAACATAACAATTCAACAGCACAACTTGAGCAGTTTTTTTGATCAGTTAAAAAAAAACACACATATAAAGCCAGTATAACAGCTAAGACCATAGTGTGTGCTTGCACGTGTAAGACCATGACCCCTAGATCAACACTTCATAGAAGATCATTGTGCTCTTAACCAAATACTCAAGAGGACTGCTTTCTCTTTGTTTTAAAACAACTGACAGGTTAGGGTATGTTTCATATAGCAGGGACACAGTGAGGTTTCATCATGACATGTTTATTCTGATATAAAATGTGGTCATACTGTGTTTCCACATTTCAATTGTTTATTTATTTATTTTACCCTGAGCCTCTCCTATTTAATTTTGGTTTCTGCTGAGGTCAGTTTCTCACCTGTGTCTCTGTTCCTGTCAGTGCAGCACACCACCATGAATGTGTCTGGCTGAGGCCTCTGGAAAAAATTCAGTATCTCAATGCAAATCAATGCAAATTGTGTGCTTGTTGACTTGATCCATGATTGTCCTGTCGACACCTTTTACATTTATGTTTTCATGTGCACTGAGCATTCAGAGTCATAACAAAGAGTCTATGTATTGCCAAGCATGAGAATTGAGATCAGATGGGTTCCTGCTTAAAAGCGTTCAGATCCTAACTCTGCTTTTTTTGTTTTAACCCTCCAGCATGGATGGAGGTGAGCTTTTTAGTCGAATCCAGGACAGAGGGGACCAGGCCTTCACAGAGAGAGGTAACAACCTCATGTTGGTTTAAGCTATATAGCATTATTTTATTACATAGCACAGATATACCACAGCATCAACAAAGAAACGCACTCATACATGTACATGAGTAATCGGTTAATTTAATTTTTCTTTTTTTTTTTTACAATGTGGAGAAGCAAAACTAAGGTTTATGACACTGTTTCTGCTTGTGCACTACACACCGTTTCTGTTAAGAGAAGGGAGATATGTCGGCAGAGCCAGCAAAATATCTGGTTATTTTACTCAATTCCAGAACAAAGCTGAATGTTCACTATGCAAGATAAAGCTGCGGTTCTTTCAACGGTTCTACCAGCACAATGAGTCATTTATGAAAGACTGAAACTGACTGGATTTGTTGCTCCTGAACACTTCAGTGATAGGAAACAACAGGAACAAATAACTGCTATGGTGATATCACGACTGATTGAATCATTGACTTAAATTGGCTTCATTAGTCAACCTCAAAGAATAATTCTAGTGCCCATCCCTAACACATGCATAGAAAGATCACTTTTAAGGTCTGCAACATCATTCAACCCTTACTGGTGACATTAGCATTTGCTGCTATATGTGACCAGTGCATGTGTTTGGTAGTGGTCTCTCAGTTAAACAGCTTTTTGTTTCTTTACTTCAGAGGCATCTGACATCATGAAGAGCATAGGAGAGGCCATCCAGTTCCTGCATGCAATCAACATTGCACACAGGGACGTCAAGGTTTGTGTCATCTCTTTGTATTATCACACTGCTTAATTAGAAACATGCTTGTTCTTGATTAAGAAATGAAATCTATTTGAGAAGAGGGTGTAAAGGATGACTTCCACCTTTTCATACTCTTCATTTTCTTCTGACTTGCTTCCCGGATCCTCCCTGCAGCCAGAGAATTTACTGTATTCCTCAAAGAGGCCCAAAGCTCTGCTCAAACTCACCGACTTTGGCTTTGCCAAGGAAACCACCTCACACAACTCTTTAGCTACCCCTTGCTACACACCCTACTATGTTGGTAAGGAACCATTTCTGTATACTGTTTCTCCTTCTTTCTTATTATTAGACAGAAAAAGAGACAGCTAATTTCTCTACCCGTCTTGTCATTGAGCTTGCATCATTCCTCCCTTTCTGTCTGTAGCTCCAGAGGTTCTGGGCCCAGAGAAGTATGACAAGTCATGTGACATGTGGTCGTTGGGTGTCATCATGTATATTTTGTAAGTAAATGTTTGCAGAATCGTGCATATCACGTCCTCCTATATGATTATATATTGGATGCAGTAACTAATATTTTATGCCAAACCTTCTGCAGGTTGTGTGGGTACCCTCCTTTTTATTCCAACCATGGTCTAGCTATCTCTCCTGGGATGAAGAAGAGGATCAGGATGGGCCAGTATGAGTTTCCCAACCCTGAGTGGTCTGATGTGTCAGAAGAAGGTAAGCCTGTCAATGTAAACAGGGCACATTGTAGGTACTTGTTTGTTTATGTGTATGTAAGTCCTCTATTGATGTATTAAGAAAGTGGAGGTAATAAGTTTATATGTGGAAAACCTCTTACTGAAATGGATTAAAACCAAATTGTGTCATGGATTATTTTGTTTGTAATATGTGTAATACAAAGAGTCAGGTGTTGTGCTGAGAAACAGAGAAGCACCTGCTGTATATTGGTCTTGCTTTAAAATACTTTCATATTAGTCAGAATTAACATTTCATTACAAAGTTATGGTTTCACAAGCTTCTGCAGGCACTCCTTAAAATCATTCCACATACATGTGACAATCAAGCTACTCTTTCTGATCAAGAAATTGAAACTGAGGCAGGTGTTTCGCCTCCTATTTGCATACTCGTATTCACTACAGTTGAAAGTTATGTATCATAAAGGTTTGGTAAAGCAAAATCAGTGATTTGTTTCTAAAACATATTATAGGTGTTAGAAAATAGTCACTGAAAACGTGAAAATGCTGAGAACTATAAAGTATTAATTGTGGAGTTACACCATTAAAACATTATTCATCATTTTTTGAGTTGAGCACACAGAGCTCTATTCCTGCATTTGTTTTTAGGAGCGCTTGTGAGGCTGAGCACAGCAGCCAGTTTTTTTTTAAGTAACAAATTCTGCTGCCTCAGTTTTAAACAATGACAAAAGTAGGAACAATGAATGTGGTGGAGTGTGATGTGAACCGACCATAGTTGGTGGAGGGAGAGAGACGTGAGGGGAGGAGATAATGGCCATACAGCAGACCATGCAGTTACTGCACTGGACATAGCACCACAGTTAAGCTAGCTATTAGCTGTTAGCCTAACAAGCTCACTGTGGGCTCTCTGCTCTGCTCCTTGTGTATGTGTGGTAGGACTGAGCACAACCTGCTCTCCTTCCAACACCAACACAAAGGAGAATTAGCTCCATAAAGACCAAAGCCATATTCTGGTTCACTACTGTCACTCAGTGGCCTTTGATAAAATGCTCCTCTAGAACCCTAGCTCAGGGTGATGGATCATGACTTACAACACTGCAAGCCTACAGTTTGCTTGCTAGCTAGCTATGCCTTCACCATGGAAATGCATCTTTCCTACATGTTCTCCCTGAATACACCTGCAGCGTGTCAGAGCAGAGAATACTCCTTATTTTTTCATGGTTTTGAAAACTAATTTTATACTTGCCAATATTTTTAATCATTCAAATTTGGCACATTTCCCTTTTGTGTGACAAACTCAGAACACATTTATTTCTACTTTACCCTGACTTTAACTAACATAAAAGTGGTTTCTAATTATGTCTAGTTTCTCAGTACCATGCAGGGCCAGTGGTGTTTCTGATTCCTTCTTCCTTACACAATTGGATACAGCTATATAACTGATGTGTTTATCAACAGTGGCTTTAGTACCAAAGCTTGTTTTTAATGCTGTAAATAATAATTTTTTGCAGCTAAACAACTGATTAGCACCCTTCTAAAGACTGAGCCGACCCAAAGAATGACTATCACAGAGTTTATGAATCATCCGTGGATCAATGTAAGAACAGTGCAGTTTTCTAAATCACTTTCATACCATCTTTTCAACTCTTTTGTTCTGGATGATATTCCATTGGTGAAGTAAGATTTGCATGTGTCTTCCTAAAGCAATCAATGGAGGTTCCTCAGACCCCACTTCACACCAGCCGTGTGCTAAAGGAGGAGAAAGACGCATGGGAGGACGTCAAGGTTAGACATGTGGTTCTGATTTGCATCATTCGTACTTAAAAAAACAATCGGAAAAGACAATTTTGCCTGTACAGTAGCTGCATGAAATGAAAAGTAAAATACTTTGTTTGGTGTTAAGGAATTCCCACCCTACCTAGAGAATGGATTGGGCCACATATTTCACATACTATTGTAGCGTATCCTGTCGTTCCAATTTTTGTTGTTCGAGCCGATCATATCAGAAAATACTTATGATTAGCTTAATAAATAACACTGTACATCTCAAGCTGGTAGGTTTGTTGTGTTATATACACATGAAAGGATAATCATAGAGGTTCATAAGAACCCATGAAGCCATCATCATAGGTGACATGTCGTCCTTCACTGTGATCACACAGCAAGTGTTTGTTTTTTTTATTCAGATAGAGCTATGAGACAGCATTTTATATCTTTAGGGAGGAGCTTCCCATTGGACAAACACAATCCTCTGGAACCCTCTTCACTAGCTTGGCAAGCAAAACAGTGTAAAGTTATAATGTAGGTATGAAAACCTCAGACTGAACTTGTTTTCTTCATATTTCAGGAGGAAATGACCAGTGCCTTGGCAACAATGAGGGTTGACTACGAGCAAATTAAGATCAAGACCATCGAGGACTCTACCAATCCACTGCTAGCGAAACGAAGGAAGAAAGCTAGTACTGCCGTGGTGAACCCACAGTCTGCTGCCCACTGAAAGATGCACACATGCATACACATCTATACAGGTTGTAAAAAAGGAAGCAATAATTTGTTGACACGCAAGTTGCATTGCATGAATTTTCTCAGTGTTTTCTTTTTCATGGCAAATTCTGTTTTGTCGGAGTGTTTGTTTTTATTACTCTACCATTTTAACGATTCCACCACTCTGCTCCGGCAGGGAGGATGTTGATCTGTTTTTACATCAGTAAAGAAATAATGAATTCTAAAAAAGGGGAGGAAAGGGAATCGGTGAGCTCTCTCCTTTCCCAAATATCAGGTTGTGTACTCAGAGAGGCTTGAATGTTGGAATCGGACACAGAGCCTTAGCGTTAGATGTAGGTTCTTTCACCCCCACGGCCCTGTTTATAGCTCTGTGCCCAAACCTGTGAATGTTAGAGCATATAGCTACATCCCAAAAATAAAAGGAAGAGAAGGTTTCTTTTACATACATGCAAAGTAAGCAGAGTTATTTTGAACTGACAAGTGGAATGTAAGGACTCTGTCCCTGACCTTCAGAATTATCTGGAAATAGTCACTCATTTCCGGGGCTTGGACCAGGACTGTCCGTCAGGCTCAGTTTGTCTTATCGAACACAGGCCTATGCACTCACCCAAGGGCCAAGTGCCATTCAGACAGAGCACCTCACTCATGGCCCCTCTCTCCTATTTTATTCTAAGCTTGTTTTTCAAATACATAGTTTTAGGGCAGAGAAGGGCAGCACGTTTAAGAGCAGAAACTGGCTCGTCTTTCTCCTGCATGTAGCTCATAGGAGAGTAGGAGCCAATGGATACTGTATTTTTTCATGGATTTTATGAACATTTTAGCATAGGCCTTACTGCTAAAGCAGCAAATGAGTTTTAACCCCTATCAACAGTACTATTTGGTTTAGGCTTTTACCAATGTTATGCTTCAGAATTTATAACAATGTCAGATTACATTTGAAGTTAATGCTATGCAGACTTGTTTGTTAGCTGCTAGGACCTTTATGTCAGCGTTGATTTCTGTTTGCAGATGTGTCAGAGATATCAATATGGAGCATTTATGTATGTGTGTGTGTGTGTGTGTGTGTGTGTGTGTAAGCAGTAGCACCCTCTAAGGGGTACACAGTTCAGTACAGTCATTCTAGAGTTGGTGTTGGTTGCACCAGCTCAACTGTCAGGAGGTCAGTGGAACTAATATGGTGCAGTGCCAGTGTTCTCTAACACACCCCTTCCATACTTCCTGGGGGATTGCTAGAAAGTAGAAAGTACTTAAGAGCTGCTCCTCTTTCCTGAGCAGAATCTGACATACCACCAGCAAGCTGTCGTCACATTCACAGTGTGTGTGATGGTTAGGTCCTCTTCAATGTTAACTGAACAGGATGCTTCCCAACTTACTTGGGATCATGGGATTTGTGTTTATTTTGTCAGGTTTGTCCACTTTGGAAAAATTACATCCACATTACTTGTTGAATCACACATACAAATCTCTGTGAGAATGTTCATTGTTTGTGATAATGTTTCTTTTTTGTCTTTTTTTGTAGTTACAAGCACAAAACTTTTTTTAAAATCTGAGTCTGTTCAGCTCCACCTGCCCTACTTTTGTCTGCTTTGACTTTGAATTAAAACAAATACAAGCGACAAACCTGCTCAGTCAGCTCTCATTTTCTGAATACAAAATGATTTTGACTGTGTAAAAAAAACAAAGCATTAATGTTATGTCATATATATATATATACACAGTATTAAAGATTTAAAGGCCTTCAGTGGTGTAAATTATAATATAGCTTGTGAAGTATTATATGGATGACTACAGTAATGTAAAGCTTTTCCAAAACTTCTAAAGTAGAAATGTCTAATTTCAGTTATTTGGTATGGTTGTCTTTGATTGAATCTTTTCTAAAAAGCTATTAGATGTTTTAATAGTTTTTATTTCCGTTTTTATCAAAGCAAGTCATTGTAATGTATTAAAATGATATCCATTACAGTTAATATACTTTTCAGTTAGTTTTACATCAGTATATTGGCTAAAAAAGGAAACTGATTCTATAATAAGATTTAAGGATTAATGTTATCTTGCTGTTTTGAGCCGTGCTGTCAGAGGGAAAAAAAGCATTATTTAAATCTGAAAGGTTGCTTATGATAGCTAACCTATTTGTTAAATGTGCATTTCTCGCTCTGGGTTCATGGTCACAATTTTCATTAATTAACCTTTTCAGTTCCTAAAACGTGGTTTGTTCAGAAATAAATATAAAACATTTACATGCCTTCTCCATATTTTAACCCCTGCCTCCACATTTGGAAAATTTTTCAGCTCAGTCACGTCTCCAGCTATGACTCAAGTTGTTAGGTCCACTTGGGATTTGTGGTTTTCACGTGCAGCGCATGGACTCGGGTCATGACAAACTTCTATCATTCTTGTTAGCTTGATTGACTCCTGGAATATACGCATTTGCGTAGCAAAATTGTGTGGGGGCATTGAGTCAATGCAGACATTTGCCAACACCGGGGTGTAGAGCAGCTTCCCGCCAATGCAGACACTTATTTCTCCTCAGGTGCAATGCACCCATAGACTCTCAGCTTCCAGCTTTGAGTGTGACGAAACCTACAGTCATCTCTCTCAGCCATGTGCGCCTGTCAGGTAAGTAAGAAAGGGGCTAAATGGGGTTTCAGGGCAGTCCCTTGTCATAGAAATTTTGTGAAGGTCCTACCCCTTACCCTGTCTGCAGCAGATCTCAGGAAACCCACCCACCATGCACTGCACAAAAAGAGGAAGGGCCCTGCACCTTTGGGCACTGTATTGTTTAAGTTGCATGGTATAGAACTCAGTAAGTCAAAGGTGAGTCAAAAGTTGAGGTGTATATACATCATCAGATATTTTCGATTATCAAAGGAAGTCTGACAACATAGTTTCACAAATGCAAAAACAAGCAATTTTTCTTGATTGGAAACGTGTCAGTGTTTTGGCCCCAGTATGTCATTATTGTGTACATATTTTTAAAGTTGAAGGCAATATGGGTATGGAGCCTTTTCAGCTGAGGCAGTAACACAGCTTGCGGTTCTTTGAAGTGGCACGCTGTCCTGATTCTCACACAAACACTCTCTCCCAAACCAGATGGAGTGCTTGACCTACCTCAGACAAAAAAGCAATAGTGAGAATCAAGAAATCTTTTTTTTTTTTTTTTTTTAAACAAAACATGTGCAACAGCAGCTGCTTATCTTTCATATATGCTGGAAATCGCTTGCTCTTACTGTCACCTACAGCTCCTGGTACATATTGTGGTTACTGTGGTTGCTTTGATTTGTTTCTCTACCGTTCATTTCTGTGCCTGTTATTTTAAAACACCTTTTTTGTAGGAACATGTTCTCTGTTGTCTTCTAAGGAAGCTTCAAATGTAGACCTGTATATTATATACACGCATGCATACACTCAGTCAAAAACATGCTGTGCTGTACAGTGAATGTGATTTAGGCTTCTCACTTAGAGCGCTGAGCTCTAATTGTAGAGTTGCCCTATGTTTTGTCATTAGTCTTTTTTTGTAATGTTATTTAATACTCGCACAGTAAACACATATACCTGATATATCCTACTAAAGTCTAACTATTACTATGTAAATGGTTGCCAAACAACAGTGACTACAAGAGGACTTTTGTTTCTTGCACTTGTTTAAAAATTTAGGCTAATACAACTGATTCTTCATAGTGAGAAAGTACCAAAAGAGCCACTTGTTGCACCATAATGATAGTTGACTTATTTTGTGTGGTGAGTTCTGTTTACATAACTGGCCTTGTGTAATATCATTTTGTCACACCTGGGTCAGAGCTCATGTGCAACATGAAAAGTGGACTTTACTTATTGTGGCATACCATGAGGCTAGACTGGTGATTCAATACACACAATTTAACACCAGCTGACTTGGTTTATAATAGACTGTCACCTTGCGATCAGCATATTTAGATGTTTTTGGTGTATATACACAGTGGGTACGGAAAGTATTCAGACCCCCTTAAATTTTTCACTCTTTGTTATATTGCACCCATATGCTAAAATCATTTAAGTTCATTTTTTTCCTCATTAATGTACACACAGCACCCCATATTGACAGAAAAACACAGAAGTTTTGACATTTTTGCAGATTTATTAAAAAAGAAAAACTGAAATATCACATGGTCATAAGTATTCAGACCCTTTGCTGTGACACTCATATATTTAACTTAGGTGCTGTCCATTTCTTCTGATCATCCCTGAGATGGTTCTACACCTTCATTTGAGTCCAG